TTAGGGTTTTAATACTTACACCCTTATTAAACTCCTAATTAATTTTCAATTCAAACATTTCCAAAATATAAAAAACAAAATTATAATAAGTTTGTACTCATTAAATTAAATTTTCAATTTTTTAATCTTATATGTACCTATTCTTAAATATACCAATTTGTTATATGAAAAATGGGCCCCTTTTTTTTAATATAAAATGTACCATTTTATTTTATTTTATATAAAATTCATTCAATCCTTTCTCTAAGAGCAAGCCCAGCGTGGGCTATAGCTCGGGGGACAGGGGACAGAACAAGGGCCCGAGGCCCTGTGGATCAGCTCCAGCGTGGGCTAGCCCGAGGGAAGGTGGAGGCCCGAGCTTCGGGCCTGTGGGGAATTGCCAGCCCGAGAGCCTGAGGCCATGTGACGTCAGCGCTGACGTCAGCCTGGCGTCAGCGCAATATTTAATTTTTTTTTTGTCAGGCGCGTGCACCCCACTCGCGCGTGGGGGCGCGTCGCCGACACAAAATCAGAAGAAAAAAAAAGTTTGTCAGTTATTATTGGGAAGCCACTTGTGTCACATCCCGCCCTGGGGGGGACCACTTCCCGAGCTCGCTCCACCACCGTAGCACGATATTATCCGCTTTAGGCCCCAACCACACTCTCACGGTTTTGTTTCTGGGAACTCACACGAGAACTTCCCGATGGGTCACCCATCCTGGGAATGCTCTCGCGCGCTACTCGTTTAACTTCGGAGTTCCCATGGAACCCGAAGCCAGTGAGCTCCTAAAAGGCCTCGTGCTAGGTAGGGATGAGAATATACATATAAGGATCACTCCCCTGGGCGATGTGGGATGTCACAACGTGGCTTCCCACGGTCTGTTAGATCTCAACGGTTACTTAATTTGGACCGTTCGATCTCAACGGTTAAAAAAAAAAAAAAAAGTCAAATTTAATATCCACCGTTCGATCTGAGATCAACGGTGGATATTAATATTTTTATAAATAAAAAAATAAAAGAAAAAATAGTTTTAAAATTAAGAAAAGTTACCGTTGTGACACGTGGCACAATCTGGAGTGTTGGAATTCAAATTTTTTTATATCCAACGGCAGAGATTAATTAATTGAATAAAAATTTAAAAAAATTGTAAAAAATTCAAAAAAAAATCTGAAACTCTGAAAAGAATTGTAAAAAAAATTGTTTTACTTTTCTATAAATACCTTCTCATTATCATCTATCTTACACAACAATTTCATATTTTCTCAACTACTTTCAATCACATTCCTTTCTTTGTCTCAAAGTTTGAATCCATTTTTTTTCAACAAAATGACCATTGGTGCAGATACGAATTTGTCGCTTATTGAAGATGTTACGTTGTGTACTAGCTGGGTTGAAGTTACTCATAGTTCGCTTACGGGTAATGAGATGCAGTTGCGAGAAATGTAGAGTCTTATTCATACCAATTATCTTGAGAAAATTGGTGGGCAAAGAACCAAAGAATCAATGTCCTAGTCGTTGGAAATTACTTAGTCAATCGTTTAGTACGTGGAGAGACGCCTTGACACAAGCTAGTAGTAATATTCGAAGTGGGGAAAATTACTCGGATCAGGTAACAATATATTATTTATTTGATACCCAAATTTACATTATAATTATTTGTTTGTATTATTTATTTGTTACCTACATAATTTATTATTTATTGTTTGTATTATTTATTTGTTACCTACATAATTTATTATTTATTGTTTGTATTATTTATTTGTTACCTACTTACATTATAATTATGTTGTTTGTATTATTTATTTGTTACTTATTTTCATTATAATTATTTATTTTTATTATTTATTTGTTACTTATTTTCATTATAATTATTTATTTGTATTATTTATTTGTTACTTATTTTCATTGTGTAGGAACTTCAAACACAAGCTTAGTACGCTGCCAAAACCAAAAGCAAAAATAAATCATTCAACCGGTGGGAATGTTGGAATATTGTCAAAGATTGTCCTAAATTTAGAGTTGTGCCAGTCGGTTCAGAAGTGCACATGAACATCACCCCTCTACACTCTACACCCGATCATGTTCATGAAGATGATGCAGAAGAAGTGCCCGAAACGCCCCTCCCTGAACAAGCGTCGGGTTCGACCCGTTATCCAATTAGGCCTCAAGGTAAGAAGGCTTCAAAGAGAAAAGGGAGTGCTTCCAAGAATGATTATGCAAAGTTCATGGAAGAACTTACTCGCCAAGGTGAATTGACTTTGGCGAGGGAACTGGCGAAATATGAGGCTGATAAGGCTAGAGAGGACGCAAAAGCAACAGCTATTGAGAGAGAATTTCATGCTAATGAGAGAGAAAGAGAGCTACTTAGGCAAGAAAGGGAACATGTTAGAGAAGAAAGACGGGCTCAACAAGATCGTGAGATTATGAACATGCCTTTAGAAGGGAAGTCTCCAAATTCTAAATCTTTTTGGAAGTCAGAGAAAGCGGACGTGGTGCGAAGGAGGTGTGCAAGAGAAGCGATAGCAAGCCAAAGTGGTTCTAGCACCACAAGAGAAGATCATCCTAGCACCACAAATTGGTTAAGTGATGATGAATAGAGTACTTTTTGTAATCGGAGCCCATAATTTTCCAATCACTTTGGGTTGTAATTTATTATTTATTGTTTGTATTATTTATGTTGTTTCCAATTTATTGAATATTTATTCAAATTAATTTGGTAAGTTATTTATACTAAGAGAATATTTATAAGAGAATATTTATTGAAATGACAAAAACACACCAAATAAAATTACATAAGCATACGGAATAATTAAAAATTCACTAAAAAAATTACATAAACATACCAAATAATAAAACACACCAAATAAAATAACATAAACATACCAAATTAAAAAAAACACACTAAATGAACTTAATTATCTTCAGCTTGTTTCAATGCCCACTGGTTCTCTATCAAGTCAATTTTTGCTCCTTTTCTGTCTCCGTAAGCGCCTTGCCATGCACTTGGACAGTTTTTCCACGTCTAGTGCATACAATCAATGCTTCCAATCATCCCAGGAAAGCCACGCATCTCCACCTTCTTCAACAGCCGTTCCAAGTCCATGTTTGTAGGTTTGCGGAGGTACTCAGCGGTGTAGATAGATTCGATTGCTCCGCAAAACCTCATCAGGGACTCAAGAATGGTTGATTTCCCCATCCTCGTTATCTCATCCACTTGGTCTGCAGATGCTCCATATGCAAGCATCCGCAAGGCTGTAGTAATTTTTTGCTCAGACAGTAAACCCATAGCACCAAAAGCATCTTTCTTTTGCACAAAATAAGAATCATGGTTGCAAACAGCAATCATGATTTTGTTGAATAAATGTCGTTCCATTCTAAAACGACGTCTAAAGTACGTATCAGGGAATGCACTATTAGGAACAAAATAATCATCCAAGAGTTCCATACTTTGTCGTTGCCTGCTTCTATCAAGGTTTTCGGAACGGCTAGGCCTGCAGATCTGAGCCGCAGCTTGGATGACTCGACGGGAATGTGAAGTTCTGCCCATTCTTACTTCGTCATCTTTCCTTCTACGCTCCTCATCCTCTTGCCTCTCATTTTTTACCCTCTGTTGATTGAACATTGCTTCTGATTGGTTAAACAATTCTTCCTCTTCCTGATCGAATTCCCACATCATCCTTGAGGAAGAAGAAGACATTGTAAGAAAGAATAAAAAACTATGAATAATGATACAGATTTTTGTGAAGAAGGAAGCAGAAACTATGAATAATGATAGAGATCTTGAGAAAATTGGTGTGAGATGTGTGAGGATGGATGGTGGATTATATAGAAGATTGAGAAAGGATTAGGTTGTACATAATGCCACATGGCATACTGTCATTCGTTAAAAATCTTATGAAAATCTATCCTCAAAGATTGTGAACAGATTATGACACGTGGCATGCCGTCATTCGTTAAAAATCTGATGGAAATCTATCCTCAAAGATTGTGAACATATTATAACACGTGGCGCGACGTAATTGGTTAATAATCTTATTAGAAATCCATCACCAATAATTGTATTTTCGGATAATGACACGTGGCATAACGAGTACGATTAAAAAATTTATCAGAAATCCATCCCCAATAATTGTATTTTCGGATTTTATGACAAGTGGCGTAACGACAACGATTAAAAATTTTATCCGAAATTACAAATAAAATTATTTTGTATTATTTAATAATACTTCGGATAATGACATGTGGCGCAACGAAAACGATTAAAAATCTTATCCGATATTACAATTAAAATTATTTTGTATTATTTTATAAATAAATAAAATACTAATATTTTATTGCCTATTACCAGGGCTATTGAAGTGTAACGGTGGAGATGCAAATACTATTACCAGGGCTATTACTGTTCATTAGGTGGATTGAATAGTGTATTGCCTGGGGGGAGGGCTCAAACGCTGGAGTTGCTCTAATCCATTTTTTAAAATTTGTATGGGTACATTCTATTTCGTTAATTTAAGAACGTATCCATGTCAAGTTTAATAGAAGAAATTTAATAATGTTATTAAGCTAATATCAATTTTTTTGTTGTTTTTTTGAAGAATGTACCCCATGTTTTGGTACAATAATTTTTTGGTTAGTTTTGATAAAAGTACCCATGTATATATACACACACAATATACTGGAGAGTTTCATCTCTAATATTTTTAATCCCATAAATTATGGGTTTTATTTAAAATCTCATTATATAAATAACTACAAATTTCATTTTTAATTTAAAAATATAATAACCTACATAGAAATACATTATTACATTAATATCAGGGACTTCGATCAAAAACTAAAAACCACAAAGATTTCAGTTAAAGAACATTGGTAATTAAGAACCGCATCCAAAGTGTTCCAATAAAAAATTGCGTCATAGTTCCTGTTATGTTAATTCAGACGCTACGATCTCAAATTGTGCTTCTTGCTACATGCATCAACTATGACATAAATCCAAATATTGCTAGTAAATTGAATGAAACAAAAAACTGTATCGTGTATATCTTTTGAACGTAGGATGTAAGTACTACACCTTCCCGACTTTGCGAAATTGCACCGTTATACATGCATCATCTGAATCAGCATGCAAAATGGTACTTAGGAAACTCTCGCAGCACACAAAATTAAGCCGAGACGATTAAAGATGAACAAACGAATGTATACAGGTTTGTTCAGTTTCCGCGTGACCCCCATCCGGATTTCAAAAGAGCGGCATATAGCAGTTCATTCCAAGCATCTGGAACTCCAGGCAAGCACCAATGGCTGCAATCCTGAGACCCCTCAGCTGTAATTCGTTCTTCTACTGTCTTGTATTTCATTCTGTAAACGGAAGGGTGTCCGTCTTTTCTATAATCGGTAAGCCTACTTATGTTTAGATATATCACCGGAGTTTTCATTTCTTCAATTACATGCTCTAGAGCTCTCATCTTTGAAGGGTAATTCCCTAAGTAAGTTTCGTTATAGATTGGCTCCGTTTCTTTGTGGCACTGTCCACCCGAGTTCCACTGCCCTCCGCTGCAACCAAATGAAACAGTTTCATTGAAGTCTATACGACTATAAACATCCTAAAGGGACCAAAACTGGATTCCTCCAACAACACATCAAAGTTTGAGATCAATAGAGAGGTTACCTGAAATGGGTAACTGAATATCCTCTGAAGAAAACCTGTGTCCGGTTGACATCAATATTCTTGTCAACCCATCGGGCCCAAGTGGTGAGAGCCCTCTTGTATGCTTCGAGAACCTTGAGTCTTGGATGCACATAGTTTCCTTCTTGGTAATAGTCCTCTCTGTAAGACCACCAAATGCAAAAATGAAATAATCTACAGTCAAGGGACTTAATAGTTTGATTGGTAGCACACTGCAATTACGTTTTACTTCTGTCAAAAGATTTGAATGGGGAAAGCATCAAAAGAATTTAACGAAGGAAATAACAGCACGCACCCACGAGAAGTCTTCTCATGTGTCCACCAATGTCCAGTGTTAAAAACTATGACATCTGCATCATCATACATTGAAGTTGTCTGGTCCATCAAATCCAATCTTAACGTCTCAAACGTACCATTTTGACCCCCCGTGAATGATGATTCCCTAACAAGGAAGGGAGAAGCAACAAAATCCACTGAACAATTATAATCCTGCAAGTGTGGGAATACCATGGATGATCAGAGATTTTCATTCCGAATACTGATTCTTCGCTTAAGAACATACGAAGATGTATGACACTTGCCTCAAATCTGAATGCATAAAAGCCCTTCTTTTTAAATTCCCTCTTCCCAGAAATCTCATGAAATCTTTTCTTGTTTCGAATGCTGTGGCGAAGAATACAAACCAGAGATTCCCACATGTTCCTATTCAGTGAATCCCCCACAAAAACCAACCGCTTTCCCCTCAACCTCACCAGAAAATCAGTGGCATTCAGACTGGGGATCACATGAGTAATGAACAAAAGTTATGAGAAGAAGATTTACATGGCAGGACATCAACGACCGCTACATAAAACACAAAATTCATCAAGAAATTGAAGATGGATTTTACCTTGGAATGTCACATTCATTTGGCTGCCATTTCCATTTTATAAAAGCATTGTCTGGCCTCCCATTGAGGTGACAATTAAAATCCCTATCAATGTATGGGCAAGAACCTCCAGGATAATATGGCCTTGAATCATCTCTAACCCACCTACCATAAAAAATATCACATTGCTGATACAAATCAGTCTGCATTTTCACCATCTGAGAATCATACTCGACAATTTTTGCAATCGAATTTTCTCGATGAGCCGCCTTCCAACCCTTTTTCTTCATCACAAATTTCCCAACATTACCATCCACATTACTAGAATTCCTTGAAAAACTACCATCAACTGCCTTCTCTGCATGCACATGTTCTTGCCCAGAGAAGCTAAAATTCCCAATGACCCTCCCTTCCTTACCATGCAAGCTTCCATTTTCCAAAACTTCAGAGGAGTTTCCCAAATGGGCAATCCCCAAGCCATTTCCTTCCTCGCTTGAATTCAAAAAGTTACCGTTTTCAGCAATTACTGACTCGTTTTCGCTGTTTTTCTGCTTACCCATTTCCCCTTCAACCCCCGAGCTCTCATCTTTACCCTCCTCTGTAAAATTTCCCAAATGAGTCTCCCCCGAAAGAGTAAAATTCTGCTTCCCAGCAACCGTTGACTCATTTGCTTCCTGGGTTTTGTCGACAAAATCCTGCATTTCTGAACTGCTGGAAAAGGAGAAAGGCCATGAAACAGAAGAAGAATTCAAACTGTCAAACCCTTGAATCGAAGTCTCCACTGCAGGACTCTTCAAGAAGTTGGTAAAAAACAGCCAACCCAGTACAGTTACTGAAACTCCAATTCCCAAAACAAACCCAGAAGTTACCTTTCTTCTTGGTGAAAAAAACTGCTTCTTCCAAACCATGGCTGAAAGACAATGCAGAGGATTTACAGCAAATACGACTGAAATGTGAATTTCATTTGCATGATCAGGAGAAAAGATAACAATCAAGATGAAGCGTGGAATGGCAGACCTTCATATATGAAATCATGGAAAAAAGAAATAAAAAATTAAATTAAAGAAAAAGTTATGGGAGCGGTGCGTGTGCCGCAGAGAAGCAGAGTGCTGGAACCAAAAAGGCTTCTTCTGCTCTTTGGCGTGGAGAGAGAGAGAGCGACAGCGAGACAAATACAATTACAAAGATACCCGTCGACATCTAGTTTCATGTACATAAATACCCTTAATACTGTTTTAATTTACACCCTAACCCTGGGATGTATCGTATAAGTAGTGGACATATTAGTCATTTGGGAAACGGTTTCGGCGTAAATAAACGCATCATTAATGGTTCGAAGCGGAGTGGCAGCTTTGTCAGAGGATTTTTGAAATTTTGAGTTTTCTTGTATTAACTGCCGAGACGACACAAATACAATTTGGTTTCGCACCGACACGTACGAGGACACGTGGCCTTGTTCTGAGGCCCAAAACATAACATGCGGACATTGATGGTTGCCGATAACTCTACCTATGCGTTGAGATTTTGATACGTGGTGGTGTCTGATGGAAGCTGTGAGTCGGCGACTATGATGTCTTGCAGGTGGCAGGAGCACGCTACACGCGAAGTACAGCAACCAGCTTTGTCTGCACGGGTTGCTGAGCGCCAAGTTTGAATCACTCCAAGTCTCCAACGTTAATCGTGTTAGTTTTTCAGGAAAAGTACTTTATTTATATCAAAGAAATAGAATACGTATAAACTGAGGATAATGTGTTTTAATGTAATTTTTGTTTTGTTAGTTAACGAGAATATCGAGATATACAAGATAAGACTTCTAACTCATGTGAGTTTATAACCTATCATATTCATCTAACATTTTGACATAACGAAAATGAACCAAACTGATCACAACCTATTTCAATTAGCCTACCAACCAGGGGTTGCATCATTTTCTACGTCCCAATGGATCGAAATTTTGTACTATCATGTAAAAAAGTTAAAGACCGCGTAACATTGCGTTAAAAATATAAAGACACTGACACATAAAGATGCTCGGACCCCAACAAGAAGCAACAATTGAAAAGTTGTTTAACATCCCACTGGAGCCTGCCATATGAATCTCAAATCTTAAGAAAACTAGAACAAAAGCAACTACATACAAATTTCTCTGACAAAAAGCTCAATCAACTGAATTGATTTTCCAACAAAGAAAAAGAAAAAGCAGATTTTACATGGAATTTTCTCTCATTTTTACAGATGAATGCATGCATTCAACAGCTATCAACAATCACATATTTCTGATATTTCAAACTTAAATTAACTTTGTGAAGAGGGAGGTATACACGGAAAAAGAAATGAAAAATAGTTGTCATCTAGGACCAGAAAGCTCCATAGCTTCTACCACAAGCGAAGATTCTTCTATAAAATCTGAATATCTTTGACGTGGGTGTTCACACGACCGGAACCTTGGTGTCTCGACCTTCTGCGACGCCTCCCATTTCTCGGCTAAGCCATCACCTTCCAACATCTTTAATACTTCTGACATTTTTGGTCGGTACAGAGGATTAAATTGAGTGCATAACAAGGCAACCTGAACCATTTCTTCCAGCTCAACCCTGTCGATTTTGCCCTTTAGATCCTTATCCACCATGAGATTTAGCTTTCCCTCCTGATGGAGTTTCTTCACCTGCATTTTTGTTACACAGCCATCAGCAGTGAAAAACCCAACTCAGCGTTAATGCGATTGTGCAAGTAATAACATATTTATATTTCATGTAACAAATCGAGTTTCTTAACACTTCTAGCAACACTCTTAAGGATCACATGTATGTGTGGGATCACATGTATGTAACACCGGGACAGATACAGGAGGGAAACCCAACAGCCATGTGTTAATTGGTGGTTTGAAAGTTCCACACCACGCTGTTGATGTAATCCAAATTAGGTATTTTCAACTTCTTTAACTTACATTGAGATAATTTTATTTGATACATGCAATTAGTTACATGCTTACATGTGTGCATGCGCGAGAGAGGGAGAGAGAGCGTACCCAATCAAGCATTACACCCTTCTGGTTTGCAACTCGTCCAAAGTCCAAGGCCTTTTGCCCTGTGATTAGCTCCAGGAGCAATATCCCAAACCCGAACACGTCAGTCTTATCTGAAGACTGACCTGTTGACAAGTATTCTGGAGCAATGTGGCCAACAGTGCCGCGCACAGCTGTGGTCACATGAGATTCTCTGTGATCCAAAAGCTTTGCCAACCCAAAATCTCCAACAACTGCCTCGAAGTCTTCATCAAGCAAAATGTTGGCTGCTTTAACATCACGGTGAATAATTCTGGGGTCACACTGCTCATGCAAATAAACCAACCCCCTTGCTGTACCTAACGCTATTCTCTTTCGCCTTGCCCAGTCTAGTGCTGGTCGACCATGTATATGATCTGAGGAAAAAATACAGAATGTAAAAAGAGGAAGTTAAGTGTCGTATTGAACAGATAACAAGAACACTCTCAAATTGAACAGATAACAAGGAAGACAAATAGTTGCCATCAGTGAAATGCAGGAAGAGTAATAAAGGGATTTAATTTAGTTGAATCATAATCACCGTATTTGTATAATAAAGTAATTTGATTTATATTATTTTGCAGTTTAGTTTTGGAAGGATCAATATTGGCATGCAAAAGTGCATGGTACTGGGCGTTGGACTAGAGAAGAGATTATAGAAGGCTAGGTTCTGATTAGAGGGTGACAATAACAGCAAGCAGAATTAAAACAAAATGCTAACCTCTTAATCGAGAGGCTACGCTTCCGTTAGGCATAAAAGGGTAAACAAGAAGTCTTTCGTTCTCAGTTGAGCAGAACCCACAAAGCCGCAGAAGATTTCGATGGACAGCCAAACTAATCATCTCAACTTCTGTCTGAAATTGGATTTCACCACCAGCAGTGTTGTAGTCCTTTAGCCTTTTAACTGCAACCAGAGTACCGTCATTCAAGCTTCCTTTGTATACAATCCCAAAACCGCCCCTACCTAGGATGTTCTTCGAGTTGAAATGGTCTGTTGCTGCCCGGAGCTCCTTAAATGTATACCTCCTCAAATGCCCCAAGCGAACTTCTGGGTCATATTGGTCTGCTGCACAACCCACCCAATAAAGAATACAGGGATTATCATAGGTCGGGAGAAAGAGTACCACTGGTTGCATGAAAACATATCCAGGAAATGGTTTAAGTACAATAAATCCTAAGGTTTCGCCAGAAAAGAAGGTTTGAACGACTTAAATGGTTTCCAACGATTTTACCTAATTAAACAAAGAAAGTGGTATAGTCACTACACGTTGTTAGCTGTCCCCAACTTATTATTATCTCCTACTACCATCCTGTGCTAACAATCTTTATATAAATAAATTGGCTCGTGTGCTTTCTACATACAAAACCTTTTTTGTTGTGTTTTGGATAGAGGAAATTAAATACATGGAACGAGCCTTTGGATTTGGAATTTTTTTTAACTATTCATTTTTAATGAATAAAGTTAGCACATTTTACAAAAATATCAGAGCTGAAATCTGAAAGATTACTGATTGAAACATTCAAACACTCAGACTTGCACCATTACTAATTACTTTTGACAGTGTCGCCCTTAAGGTAACTAATAACACAACAAATCGAAATCATACCTCCTAAGATACAAGCACCCCTATCAATCTGTTAAACTATCTGAGATACTAGCATTGAGATTTAGAAAAGTAGGAAAATTATATATAAGAAACTTACCATTGACATCGAAGAATATCTGCTGGTTGTGTCTGTATCGCAGCCAAACAAGTAACCCAATAATTATTATGACGCCAAAGACAGCACTGAAGCTTGCACCAAGGATAATAGTCATGTGGCGGCGTTTGGTTCCAGAGTCTGATTCTAAGAAAGCCAAATTCATGAATGCATACTGTCACCAGTGTCACAAGGAAGACTATAGGAAGGAACAGAAAAACAACTGTGCATATATACCTTTTAGAGCATCTGGTGTGAAGGATAGTGGCTCTGGAAAGACAGCAGAACAGTTCGCAGCCTTTACGCCACAAATTAAAGGGTTTCCAACAATTCTGAAGTGAAAAGAAAAACAAAATAGGGCTGAGAAAGGAACCAAAGTATACAAGGAACTAAGGATTAGTGGACCAAATGATATAGCTCACTTGAAAGTTCGTGCGGATATCTTTGGCAAGGAACCGCTCAAATTGTTGAAAGAAAGGTCCCTACACAAATGTTCATTGAAATTATTAACAAACAAATCTCTACTTATAGGTTTTCCCATTTATACTGCAAGGGAAAGTAGAACACACAAAAGAAGGGGGAAAAGACATACACAAGAGTGAGACCAACTGCGGACAGCGACTTGGGGAAGGGTCCTGTAAGGCTGTTGTTGTTTAACCGCCTGTCTTGCTCAAAAAACAAGAGAAAAGGTGTAGGCATTAGCTAAATTTGAGTGGTTATCGAATCTCAAAATGTTTAAAAGAAGTAATAACATGATTTTGAAACTTACAAATAATTCAGGTTCTTTAGGTTGCCCAAAGAATCTGGTATGTCACCATTGAAATTATTGTTGGATAAATCAAGTGTCTGAAGCTTCACCAAATTTCCAATTGAAGCGGGAATTCGACCCGAAATCGCATTGTTTTGAAGCAAACTGCAATAGTAAGACAGCCACATTTGTTCAAATAAAAAAAACTTTTGTATCACAATATCAATTCATATCCAAATTTCACAAGAACAAATAAAAAACGACATAAAGGAGGTGCAAACTTACACAGATTGCAAGTTACTGAGGTTTCCAATCGCCGGAGATAAGATACCGGACAAGCTCTGGCTAGGCAATCCCCTAACAACAAAATAAGAATCACTTACTGAGAAAAGGATTCATCAAATAGGCAAATAGTAAAAATACTCTGATTTTTTTTTCTAGCCATCATTATCCAGAAGAACTTACAGAGCAGAAACATAGCCATCAGGAGTACAAGTAACCATCCTCCAGCTACAGGGATCTACAGAGTTACTATCCCAGTTCTCCAAAACATTATGCGGGTCAATCAGATCACTTTTGATGGCCGCCAAAGCTTCAACTGTGAATATTCAGAAAAAAAAAAAAAAAAAAAAGATAAAAGGGTTATTTTCTGCAGGAATTTTCTTTTCCATTTTCTTGCTTAAAAAAAAAAAAAAAAGCAAAATCTAGGCTGCGCCCAATTGAGACACTGAATAATATGAGCATTAACTGAACAAAGTGAGGGAGAAAAAAAAAGAGTTATATTACTCCAAAAAAAAATAATAATAGTAAAAAAAATGTATAGAACTTTACTGTTCATCAAACATTCCTTCATCTGTCGTAATTTTTTCAAAAAAAGAAAAAGATAAAAATCCAAACTTTATGTTGCAATTCTAATGAGCAGTTCATTCTCTTCTCTGAAAATTTGAAGATGTAGAAAATAAGAAAATAACAGTATCCCAAAGAGAAATTAAATCAACCTTCATAATTTACACCAGTAGGGGAAAGAGTTGCAGAAGAGGCCTCAGCCAATGCCAAAACAAGTAAACCCAATTTGCACAACATGAAATTACTTCTTCCCATGTAGTCTTTTTCTATCTTCATTCAACTTTCTTTGTGCAACCAGAGCAAAGAAGCAGCTTTTATTCAAAAGCACCACAACCAGCAAAACTACTAGCCATTATCCAATTGCCTTATCCAAAATAAGTAGCAGTTTCACAATCAGAATCCTAGAAAGCAAACCGAAATGGTCATTCCGTCTCTCACTTCCAGAAAAAGTCGGTGACTTTGTGGATGAAACTTGAAGGAAACAAAAACCCAATTGCCAAAATCACTTTCCCAGAAAGCACTTTGCTTGGAAAAAGAGAATTCGAAACAAACTAAGTAGAATGGGCACCGTATGAGCTGAGACAAGCAACAAAAGGGAGATAATTTTCTCGAGAAACAAACAGATACCAAGCCAGGATATAAGGGATCCTAGAGATCTGAAAACAGTGGGTTTGATTTTCTACAAGTTTTGGGCGATCCCCACAAATTCCATGTGGCTTATGTTGTTGGTTTGTAGGCGAGCTCAGTCCGTCGTCTGTGATTCCTGCAGTACCACTACCACCACGGCATTATCTTGTTCTACAAGGAGTGGAGTGAGTGAAATTCCATTCAAACAGTGAAAAGGTGAGTGAAACTCACTCACTCATTCACACCAGAAAAAACCAAACACGCAAAGGCCGATGCAAAAGGCCAAAGTCGGACACAGATACAGATGCCAACAGAACCCAGCAACAAAAAAAATAAAAATTGCGCCTTTTTAAAAAGAAGGAAAAATTAAAAGGCAGTGAAAAATAGGGTTTTTGATTATTTGGGGAGGGAGACTTGATAGGGCTGAATGATTGGGGTTGCAGTTACACTGAAGTAATTTATGAAGATATATCGGCTCTTACATTATTAAAAATATTTGAAGCATTTTCTTCAAAACCCAGAAATCAACTGATTCTGATCTTTAAAAATTTGATCAAATGATCTAAAAATTATTATATCTTTTAATTTTTTTATTAAAATATTTATTTTTAACCGTTTAATTAAATTTTAAAAAACTCGAACCATTTGATCTTAAAATTTAAAGGAAGAGATCTGTTCCCATAAAAATAATGAAAAAAAAGTAAGGAGGTGTGATTGGACTGAAGGGATGTAGAATCGATCAGCGAGAAGAGAACAATGGGATATCTATGCAAAAGGTGAAGGATTGCAGGTAAGTTTTTGGCAGGTCACGTGCTTGGATTGTCCTGGACTTTCTTGGCATTCGGCCCTGCCCCAATTTTTTAAAATTAAAACGACAAAAAGTAATCACATTATTCTGTTAAAGTAATTCTGCAGGGCATGGCCCCCATCTCCCGCTAGCTCTCGATACTTCAAGTTATCATGCACATGCCAACAGATGTCAATATAGGTTAAAGTAATTTGTCGAGTGAATTGAGAGAGTTTATCGAATATTTTCAATGTAATTGTCAAAATATATCTAATAGATATTATATTAAATATTTAGTGTACATAAAAAGAATTCGTATAAAACGTTCGGATGATCTTCAAAAAACATTCACATATACTACAATGAGATTTCACCTTTTTATAAACTAGTAAAATTGGATGAAGAAAGTTGATGAGCACATGAATGGTTTGGTTTTTATAGAGCGTCGCGCAGATGCCAGGTGATGTGGGGTGGGGCGTGTTTGAATACGCCGGTTGCGGTGGCGGGTGATGCTTGCGGACCGCGAGGCCGGGTTTGTATCCTCTCTTTATTCTTCATCGGGTCTCGTGAAAGAATCTCCACAAACAGCCTTGCCCCGCCCACGTGGACAGTTTAAGACTTCTGCTCGTGTTATTGTGCGAGTCCTTGTTTTAATTTTTTGTTTTCTTAAAATCACCATTTTTTGTGTTGAATTTTTGTTGGACTTAAAATTCACCTTTGATTAATAAGCCATTTAGCGGATGAAAAGACATAAAGAAACGAAGAGAGAACACAGGAAAATTGTTGGAGTCAAATTTTTTCACCACTGTGTATGGTTGAATTGTGCAAATCTTGTGACCTACAAACAAGAGCAAACAACCAACTGTGAATAACGTGGGGATACATGTATGGCACCGGTTAATGACTTTTCGACGGTCAAATTAGTTTAAAGTGTTAAAACTAAAATAGTGGGCTAGAGAGCAAAGTATGCATTATGAAAACGTTATCATTGACTTCTCGGAATAAATCTTTTTAGGATGTAGAATCAGTATTAAACTGGAAAAAAATCCTAGAGGATATCTAGCATAAGATATTGTTTTCTTTTAGAATTATGATTACTTGCGGTACACGCTAATCTCTAAATTGTTGGAATCCCCAAGAATATTCCTCTCGAGTTGAGCTCTCGCATGTCCGGGGTCCGATCAGATCAACTAGCGACCGATTTACGAAAGGAAACCAATCTAATCCCTAATTGGATCAGATTTTTGTGCCTATTGGCATCAAGCATGGTCAATCTCATTGAGGCTTGCAAGCCTCGCCTACCATTTTAAAGCCCAACAAGATGTGGTGGCAGCGTTGGTCCGTTTAGGCAGCTTAGTACGATCAAAGGTGTGAAGTCAATGATCGGACTTCTAAGGCATTGGTATTTCGATCTATCTTACTCTAGTCCAAAAAAACATTTCATTGTCAAAGAAAGAGAATAATTGGTATAAATTAAACTTTGTGCATAGACATGATTGCTTTTCAAAAAATAAAAAAAAAAAGCAAAATTTAATATTTGAAACTCATGAGCGATCAATGAAATGTTTTAGAAAATGGCTTAAAGATCTACCAGTCAAAATTCATAGGCGATATTTTTATATTGGTCCCATAAATATTTATAAAAATGTGTGCAATAATTTCAACTTCAATCAAAATATAAATAGAAAAGACACATCCAAAAAAAATTGTAAATAGAAAGGAACGTGTGTTGCTATTGTTACTTGGTAGATGTACTCCCAACTAACGCTTTTTTGTTTTTGAAAAAAAAAATAATAACCAGCGGGTGGTTTCGTTGTAGTATTTCACATTTTCGGGACATGAAGATTTATAAAGGCATTTTTTTATTTTTTTATCTTTTAAAATTTTGTTACTTGACTAAATATCAACACAAATATGCAACAACAATAACAAGTAATTTCAGGGACGTAACTGCAATACAAGGTTTGATTCAATTAACTATATAATTAACTAATTAAGTTGTATAATATTATATAGCATGAGGGACTGAGCAGTCTTTTAAGAAAGATATAATAAGCAGATGATGCCGCGAGGTGGTGTTACCTATGGAGTTTATAAATTAAAACCCAGAACAGAACCCAAGAGCATTTTTGTCGCATTGGGAAAACTGAATATTCCCCAATCTAATCTTATTATTTATTTAGCATATCGATATTTTTACATTAAAGAGATGAGAAATTTGGCTAAGTCGCACAATGAATTGCCTAATTTAGTACTGAATTCGTCATTTACGAAATTTGAACTTAAAACCTTTCAATTCTAAATGAATAATAATATTACGAAACCGTAGTACTGAATGATCCTAATCTGATCTTATTATTATTAGTAAAAACATTATTAACGCAAACCACAAATCTAGCAAGAGGGAGTCCAACAACCATGCTCCGGACTCCGGAGTCTACACATCGGGCAAATGCAAGGATATTTTGGTCGCTTTTGGGAAGATGAAATATCCTCACTCCACCCCCGCCCGAATACTAGCCCTAGGTCCTTAATCATCTTTTTAAAACTTTTAATTTTGTTTATTGGAGTCCCATATAGATAATTTTCTCACTATAAAGACCACATTAGCCCTAGGCCCAATCACCCTCCATTTTTTGCAACGGCGGAGAAGCTTTTATGGGTTGGAGGCAATTCAACCCAATTGCAAGGGCAAAAAATGGATCGGTGGGGATGCTGTCCCACTTTCTGATTTTCATGCCCACACCGACACCTCTCTATGATCCCTCCCCCTCTCTTTAGCTGCCAGAAGGAGTCTCGTCGGATCATCTTTGTAGAGATCATAGAGATTCTTTAATTACATTTGTTCATTGTATATCATACGGTTATAAATTATTATAAATTTTTTTATTTAAAATTGAATATAAACAATACCTGACAAAAAACTGACCGTACGATGTACGATGAACAAATGTAATTAGAGGATGCGGTAAGGATCCTCTCTCCTTTAGCTCTAGTCTGATTTTCGGACAAAAGAACTTCTCCTCCCTAGAAGCACTAATGTATTATCCAATTTTTAGCTAAAGTTCTTTGATTTAAGACAAATAATGTAACTACTAAAGTTTTAAGATGTGACTAATTGTTCGCTTGTATTTTGTCGATCTACATGTTACTTATATCTCGTAATCATTTTATGTTTTTTACTATCTAGGTTTAGGACTCTATGTATTGACCTCAAGTAAAAAAAATGTCACATAATTGAAATATAGGGTTGTTTTGAAGAAAAAAAATTGAAAGAAAAGAAGTTGGTACCTTTTTTTATACGTCAAAAGCTTGGTATTTTTACTATTTCAACAACAATAATTACTTGGTCTAACAACATACAATTTTCACTTTGATTAAGAAGTAATTAAGCTATTTCGTCGACCAAAATACACACAAAAATTCTATAGCGCAAGCACTTTAATGACTATGAGATATAATTTTTAAATCATAATATTTTCTTTGTATTGTATTGTTTTATCTAACAAAAATTCCCAAGCTCATGTCTCAGGAGAGAAATAAAAACAAAAGCTAACGAAAAGTTAAAAAAAAATTTAGTTTTAATAAAAAAAATGACAAATGAATATGTAATGAATAGTACTAAAAGAAGGTAAAAATATGATTTTTCGTTAAAAATGAACATTACGATGAATGTTTCGTTAAAACTTCTGAAATAAAAATATATAAACTATGTCAATGTATTATTGTAATATAAGTCATTTCCGTCAAACTGACATCAGAACTCTCGAGGATGGGGAATATAATAATACTATATGGATATGGTGAGTCTGTCCAACGGCAATTCGACCAACACCTTACCAATGCATGATTAGGTGGTTCCTTTTGCAACTTTTTCTGCTTTCAAAAGAGAAACAAAAGCACAACTTTGAATTATGACGAAAGTGCCACTTTCGCCATCACACTAACCATAGCAGTTCATCAGGTCATTTCCTCACCATTTTTATTAATTTGTAATTAATGTCAAAGTTTTACTTTGTTGCAATTCCCAACCTAACACTCACTCACTTCCTCAATGATAATAAATATAAATAAAAATAACTGATATTAACACTTCAAAAATTAAATTCTACATTATTCACAAGTGTATTTTTCTTTTTAGTTATATAAAGTTTGGAGTGCCAAATGAGATTTTTGGAATGCTAATAACAATTCCCTAAATAAAATAAATAATAATACAATCACGTCCTAGATAAAAGAAATTAAATTGTCTTCAAGGGAGGAGATTTTCATTTAAAAAATAAAAATAAAGATTAGTTGTGAGGTTAATATTTTATCAAACTTTAACAATTTGAATCATATATTTTTAAAGTTATACTTTATAGATCATCCTTACAAAATATTAGTTAAATCGAAATATTCGATACATCTAATTGAATTCAAAGAAAATGACGAATACTATGTTATAAGAAACTATTAAAATTTCATCGTAATAATTAAATAGGTAAATGATTTTTGTTTGTATTAAATTTTTATAAAAATATTTTATGAATCGAAACTTATAAAATAGATAATTCGAATCATTGAAATTCATGGTGAAATTATTCACACAACTCATTCTTATATTTTTTTTAAAAAAGAAGGGAAATTAAATAAAAAAGGAAGAAAAGGATTCGTCTTATGGGCCTGTGAGTCACATGTTGGGCTACTGGGGCCCGCTTTGAAGTGATGTGAGCTGCGGTGGTGGACCAATGGCCGAGACTAAACAATACTGCCGCACATTCTTCATTCTTTGTTTATTTATTGATATTTTTTCACAACTACTCTGTGGATGGCGTGACGCAGCAGTGATCTAAAATTAACGACGATGGTTGCCCAATCATACAGCCATGACAGCAACTTTCATGATATTTGTACATCGTTAATATGATAGTTTTAAGCTAGACACATTTGTATGATTATCATAGTATGTT